TCACTGAAATTGACAAATATCTCGAGGTCTTAGCATGTACAAAAGCACAGGCACTTGATTGGGCATGTCATTTTGAATAGAAGATGGCAATCTGTTAAGTGGCTGGAGTGCACATTTTGTTAGTTTGAAGATTACAAAATATGACAAATATAAATGACAAACTGGATGAGTTTGAGCTGTTTGTGTAGACATAAGAGAACCAAGTAACCTCTTTAAGAATGGGATCAAATTTATTCCTTAGCTGATACCCTCGGGACTAATTTTCAGTACAAATAAATGAAAGAGAGTTGGTTTCAAAATGATTAGATAAGGAGATTATAATACTTGATATGAGAGATAACAAAAATTAAACTGCAACAGTAGTACAAAGTGTGAATTTAGGTAACAGTGAAAAGGAGGGAACAAATGTGGAAAATGCATGAACAGTAGAATTAAAGAGTATTCACCAGTTGACTGTGAGGGTGAAACAGGGGAGCATTATTCACTCCTGTATCTTGGGTAACTGGGGATACAAAAAGGAGGAAACCAAAGTTTGGGGTGGTGGTGGCAGAAGTTATAATGAAGTTAATTTAAGATATATGTAAGTTTGCGGTGCCCTTAGGACATACAGGTGAAAATGTCTGTGTGTTATTGTCAAAAGTGACACTTCTGAAAACTACTGGAGATGACAGGGAGAAATCACAGAAAGGAGATGGTAAATGAATGGCAGTGGGTGAGAGTATAAAGGAATGGTCTGTAAATTGATTTACAGTAGCATAGAGATTTTAGGACATAGTTTTAATTTAACTCTCGGTAAATTTTATTTCTGGGCTAAATATACCATGAGAAGACAAATCATATCTTAATTTATTATTAATTTATAATTCAAGTCTTCCATAATTGTGTAATTTAAATAAAACTTCCTGAAGTTAGTAATTGGTCAGTATTGACTATTTAGGGCAACCATCAGATGAAGTCCTGAAGTATAACTACCTAAAAAAGTGAACTGCATGTCAATAGCAGGTAAAAAAGTGTTGGGGGGTAAACAGAGTTAAATATTTGCAAGATATTTGAATATGCACAAGAATCAACTTAAAACTTTGTACTAAGTTAAGGAATCATTTCATAATTTCTATTTGAACTCTAAGTGAATTATAATGTGAAACAAAACAAAAACCTTAAGAAGTGAAAGAAAGCAATAATAAAAATAATTGGTTAATGCAAAAGATGGCAGCACAGAATGACAGGAAAGAATTTAAAAACAATTTGGTGAAACACAAAACAAATACTCCATGAGAGAAAAACAAAGATATTTAAAAACCAAGGCTCTCACTACAGAATTCCACAGTATATACATTTTTAAATGATTCTTATTCACAGTATATGAAGAATTCTTAAAATAGATATTAAAAAATATTGACCTTGAAGGCATGATCAAAAGATTTGATCATGTGACAAAAGAGAATATCAACTTTCCAATAATCATATTGATTATTATATAATATGAATTTGATTATAATTTTTAACCCATCACCTTCTATATTTTTAGTAAAGCATATTGGTTAGACTCTAGACAAATCTGAATTTAATTCTAAGTTCCAGTGCTGAATAAATATATGACTTTGAGGAAGTAATTTCGTTCCCTTAAATCTTGTCATTTTTCATCCTTAAAATGAGGATAATTACCAGGTGTGGTGGTACAGGCCTGTAATCCCAGCTTCTCAGGATACTGAGGCAGGAGGACGCTGAGTTTAAGACCTGCCTGGGTTGCACTGTAAGTTAGGGGAAAGTATGGGCAATTTAGAGAGATCATGCCTCAAAATAAAAATTTAAGAAAATGTCTGGGAATGTAGCTCAGTGGTAGAGCACTTGCCTAGAATAGGCAAGCCCTGGGTTTGATACCCAGTGCCACACAGAAAATAAAATAGAATAGCACTTTCCTCATTGAGAAGAATAACAGAGGTATTACATATCAGGTGTCCATATTTATATATCAAACAACACCTGTTTGCAGAGAAGTTTCCAAGGGAGGACTAGAGGCACCTTTCACTGTGATAGTGTCTGCTCACATGGCCCAGAGATACAGCAGCATGGTCAAGGAAAAGGTTTTACACAACAGTTTCCACAGAAACAATATTTCCATGGTAATTAAGTATAATCTTTCAGGACTATATCTAAGCAATACCTCCAGCAAAGGAAGAGAGAACCAAGAAATTATTTAAGTGAAAAGGCATTCAAATAAAAAGGAGTGGGGAAAGAATATTAGTACAGAAGAGAGTGCAGGCCAGCTGTAAAAATTCCCTTCAGTGTACACTGGGGAGGGGCTCTCATCCAGCCCTTATTAAAAAGGAAGTGAAGATGAAACAATTCACTCTTATAACTCTTTCAACATAACTTCAGTAATCTTTTCACAGACATAGAACAGGAGCACAGGAGATCTCCAGAGAAGAAAGAAGTGTGTCCTTCCAAACTAGGTAGAAAAAATTCAAATTAGCCTCAGCAATTGAAATTGTGAAACATACATGACATGGTTATTTATTCTAACACATTTTTGTCACAAAAATAAAACTAAAAATAAAGGAAATGAATAAGCATTTGAATATTTGTGACAAGAGTTAGCAGGAAATTAAGTAGGAGAAAATCGTACTCTCACCTCTCATACCATGCTTCTATGGTTCCTGGATTTCAGTGATTAGTATGTATCCAAGACAACAGTATCCTGCTTTACCCCTCATCACACAAATAGGAACACATACAAAGTTGCCACCATCTTGTTTTATCAAATGGTAACATTTAAAAACAATTGAGAACCACCATTTACTAGTTCCATCATTTTATGAAAGAATTTAGGATAAATGGGTCTTAAATTCTTTATCATTTTTAACATTCATCTATCATCTATCGATCTATCTGGCTGGCTACCTATCTATCTTTGTATCTATCTATCTATCTATCTAATCTGGCTATTGCAGTCAAGCCTTTCTTTTTGGGGATTTTATTTTATTTTATAATTTTTGTATTTACTTACTATATACATTATTTGTCCCCCTCCCCTCCAGGCAGAACCTGTTCCACCCTCTTGTTCTCCAATTTTGTAGAAGAAAAAACATAAAAGATAATAAGAAAAGGATGGCATTTTTGCTAGTTTGAGATAAATTAGCTATACAGAGAGATTCCTTGTGTTGTTTCCATGCACATGTCTATTACAGCATGAATTAGTTCATCTCTACCAGACCTCTTCACTACTTCCCAGTCTCCTTCCCATAGTGGCCTTGACCAGTTTAAGATTACTATATTTGCCCCTCTATATGTGCACAATACAGATTGCTATATTGTGTGGTGAGCACATCAACCACATTCAAGTTTTTGGTTTCCTTCCCTTTCCTTATTCCTCCCATGCACAGTCACCCCTTAGTGTGACTTGTGCCCAATAATATTGCTGCATTTGTTTTAGTTCTGTAATCCACATGTGAGGGAGAACATGTGATTTTTGGCCATCTGAGCCTGGCTAACTTCACTTAAGATGATGTTCTCCAGTTCCATCAATTTACTTGTGAATAACAAAATTTCATCCTTCTTTGTGGCTGAATAAAATTCCATTGTGTATGAATACCACATTTTCTTCCTCCATTTGTCGATAGTGGGGCATCTTAGCTATTTCCATAGCTTGACTGTGCTGCAGTACACATGGACTTGTAGTAATCTGAGTCACATTCCTCCTGGAATATTCCTAGGAATGGTATTGCTGGATATTATGGCAGATCTATTTCTAGTTTTTTAAGGAGCCTCCATACTGTTTTCCATAGTGGTTGTACTAGCTTACATTCCCACCAGCAGTGTATGAGGGTTCCTTTTTTACTCACAACCTCGCCAACATTCGTTGTTGGTGGTGTTCTTGATGATAGTCATTCTAACAGGAGTGAGGTGGAATCTTAATGTCGTTTTGATTTGCATTTTCTTTATGACCAGGGACAGTGAGCATTTTTTCATGTGATTTTTAGCCATTTGGAGTTCTTCCTTTGAAAAGGTTCTGTTCAATTCAGTTGCCCATTTATTTATTGGGTCATTGATTTTTTGGGAGTTTAGTTTTTTGAGTTCCCTATATATTCTGGTTATAGCTAGCAAAGATTTTTCTCCCATTCTGTGGGTGGCCTCTTCAATGTAGAGACCATTTCTTTTGTTGTGCAGAAGCTTTTTAATTTCATGTAGTCCCATTTGTCCATCCTTTCTCTTACTTGCTGAGCTGCTTGAGTTCTACTGAGGCAGTCCTTGCCTATACCTATTGCTTCCAGTGTATACATTGCTTTTTCTTGCATTATCTTCAAAAGTCTTTTGATGTGATATAAATATACTAACCAAATACTTTCTTTAACTCTTATTATATCATTTACAAAACTGAAATGCAAGTTTTGGCATGACTAGCTCCCCTCCTAGACACTAAGCTTTTGAAGTCAGGAATTAGTTTTCCCTGTCTTGATACCCTTAAAACTAAAGTATTTGTTGAATGATTGAATGAATAGCTCTGCTCAGATTATGCTTCCTGAAATATAATTATACATAGCAAAATAACTGATACTATTTTATGGTTTATTTATGGAAGTAAGAATTGAATCTTCTCTTCAATATTCATTCATTTATTCCTCAGACACATATGACAGCCTTACTATGTGCTAACTGTTCAAGATAATAGAAAGAGGTAGAAGGACAAGGATGTAAAAAACAGTTCTATTCTAGAACTCAGATGATCATTTTAGAAAAATGCCTTACAGAATCATATCTAATTTCTTGAATGATATAAATAGAAATAATCTAATCATTTTAAATCTCAGCAGAGTAAACAGTTGCTCAGATATGTTTTTCATAGTGAGAATAAAACCTGTTTATCACCATTAAGTGGCAATACACTCTATTTATGTTAGAGTCTTCCTCTAACAAATTACAGCCACTATCCCCATGACACAGTTTTCGTAAATTGCAGCCTTAACCTTATCCACTTTCAATGAAATAATAAATCTGCTTACTATTGCAAGTCTTGTTGTACTTGCTGTTCTCCTGTGCAGACCCTTCCAGCCGGCACTGGAAACGATGTTGCCAAAATTCTTGAAACCAAGGATTTCTGAGGTTTGTTTCTGGACGGAGCTTCAGGTAATAGTCATCAAACCACTTGACATCAGGAGATTGGAGCTTGATTGTGATTCCACCAACAGCTTCTCGCTGATAGCCATCTGTCACATCATACCTGTCAGCCCAGCCATCACTGTGGGGAAACAAAAAAACTGCACCTTAGAACAGAGATTTTTATGAGCAAATGAGTCCTCTTGCTTTCCATTTTTTGGCTTGAAATATTAGTCATGAAATGGCTACTTCAGGCCACACCACAGGACGGCTCTGCATTCTACCTATATGATTGTCAAGATCGCAGCTTATTAAAATCCAAGAGCAGTAACTTGGAAAAGCCGTCTGAGGCTGGAAGGCACAAATCTCACTAACCTTGAACTGCAGAGAATAACCTATTGCTTTTGACAGAATTGTACTGGTTAGAAAAAGCAATATATGTATGCAAGTTGCATAATATAATTATTCACACTTTCACTGGATGTTTCAATGAATTCTTTTGGTTACTTCATAAAAATTATTACATATATCATAAAATATGAATGAAAAAAATTTCCAGAACAGATATAACATTAATTTAACCATCCTACAACACATATTTATTTTTGTTTACATCATACAAGAGAATTATACTTTTCCTTAAAACTTTGCTGATTATAGTCATTCTATTAAGTGTTGATTTGTTAAGGCCTGAAACTGAAATATTTATAGTTCACAGTCTATATACTCCTTCCTATCCCATGGAACTTCTCAAATGCATTGAAAGTAAATATTTGATCATATGGCAGTTCTGTTTTTAGTTTTTTGAGGAACCTCCATATTGCTTTCCATAGCAGTTGTACTAATTTACATTCCCACCAACAGTGGTAGAAGTGTTACTCCAGGATTTGACAGAGCCACTTGCACACCCATGTTTATTGCAGCACTATTTACAATAGCCAAGCTTTGGAGGCAGCCCAGATGCTCCATGACTGATGAATGGATTAAGAAAATATGAAATATATATAAATAATAGAATATATATATTATATATATACATATAATAGAATATATATATATATTATATATATAATGGGATAAGAATGTTACAGAATAAGGAAAAGTATTTCAAGCTTATATGGAATATACACAAGACACAATGTTGAAAATAAAATTAAATTTGGCTATACTCTATGGCACTCATGAAAAGAGAGTATCTGCCTTGCCTGTCTCTCCCACTGGAATACATACAGCTTGTACTCTGTGCTGATGGGACCAGTAAGGCTGCCCTTCTTGTGAAGATGTCTAAGTATCTTTAAAGAAATATAAAGTAAAGAGAAAGTTTGACCATTAATAAAAGTTAACTTCAAAGAAGAAGGACTGCAGACTCAAGGACCATATATGCATGTGTGAAATATCAAAGTGAAACCCCTTTGAACAATTAATATACACTTAAAAATGAAGGCAAGAAAGTAAAACACTTTGGGGGTGGGTACTGGTGGGAGAGGGTGATGAAGAGTAAATACGGTCTATGTACTTTGTATATTTGTATGAAAATAGAAAAATGAAACCCATAACAACTGTTTTAAGAAGTGGAAGAAGGGGGATGAGGGAGAATGATGGAGGGGATAATCTAATTAAAGTACATTTTGTAAGCACATATGTGTCACAATGAATTTCCCTGTACAACTAATATGTACTAATAAAAAATAAAAAAAGGAAAATAGAGGAAACTTAGTGGAAGAACAGTGTGGTGCCTCCAAAATGCAAAGCAGGAAGGGATGCAAACCTGAACTGGAGATGAGGGGCAGTGGGCACTGGCAAAAGGGAAAGAGAAGAGAATAACTTTATCAATCATAGTTTTCCTCATTGGTATTTTCTTTCTTTGAATGCATTTTTGTACTTAAGCTTTTTTCCCCTAGAGACAGAAAGCATGATCCAATACTTTGCATATAAAACTAGTACTGGGGAAAGTAAGTAATTAAAATAATGCACAAAAATGCACTTTTTCAGTGTGCTCTGTTATACCAATTTTGACTTAAAAATTGATAATTGGGAGTTGTTCCAAAGGTCGCAGATTACTCACTAAAATATTACAGAGATCTGTGGTACCTTGCGATATTTCCTAAAGCAGCAGTGGGCGGGTGAAGAGGAGAAAAGAAATAAACAAAATGATCCTTTCTTCCTCTACATCTCCTGATAAGACATCTCATTAAAAATTATCAATGGTGAAATTTAAAAGAACTTCTGTGGTAGATCAGGGGAAAAATGTAATGCAATCTGTTTTGTCCCAGTGTTGAATTTGGTTACTTCACACATTATCTTCCCTCAAGGTTCTCATTTTCAGCTCCAGGAGATTTTATTTAAAGCTGACAAGCTGAAATGAAGTGGGCTTGTTTGCCTCATTTTCATCCTCTGTTGTGGAGGGTTTATTATAGCACTGGTATGAGAGTGTGGGTCTCATTGCGCTCCAGGAGATGCATGGGCGTGCTGCAAACAGGACAGGAAGTTCTGTTTGTCAGGCAGAGCCCATTCTCTAAGGAAGTGGGAATTCAAATTGTTCCTTTTGTTAACGTTAGCTCACTCTTATGTAACGCTATGATTACGAATATTACATAAGAAATGTAGGATTATAATAATGGGCCCAATTTACTCTTCACAATTCATTCATCGAATGTAATGGGAATTGTAAAAAGCTTTTCTTGATAAACTTTCCTGCAGGTAATATTTCCATAGAAGAAAGTTATCTGGACCAGGGTGCTAATTTACTCATCTCTGATCATGTTGTGTCACTATCTTTTTTTTTTTTTCATGTATAAGTCTCCCTTATAAGTTTGGGTTGTAAGTTTAAAATAATTTTTGTTTCAGACATGGAAATCATGGAATCAACAGTAAAATAAAAATCATAAAGGGGTTAGTATCGAAACAAGAAACTCCAAAAGCCATGTGCCAAAACATGGAGTACCTACTAGGTAAATCCTATGAAAGTTCTCTCCCTCAATGCTGGGTAAGTTAAAGGAGGCTGTACTGACTTAGATTATTAATTACTGTCATTTTTATAAACATACACTTTAAGATTTGTCTAAGATGATAAAATATCTCTAAGTAAAGGAGAAATAAATCCAAAAGTAAAATGAAATGCCAAAAAAGCCTGGACTTACTTTTCAACTGCCTAGTGCTTTCCATTACTTTGATAGTGTGCCCTTGCAACATGTCAGCATCACTTTAATGCTTTGAGTGACAAATATTTTAACAAAGCAAGGGAGAAGAAAGATAGGAAAAGAAACTAACATTTATTGAAAACCTACAAATGTAAGGCATTTTTCTAGATTTATCTATCTATCCATCCATCCAGTTTCTTTCTCTTCTCACTAGTGAGCATTGTGCCTATTTCCTTACCTAGTTCATCCTTTTCTTTGCAATTTTTGATACATGGTAGACTATGAATACTTGCAACTTCAGGGCTGAGGGTATAGCTCAGTGTAGCTCAGCACTTGCCCAAGAGAAGCAAAACTCTGGGTTTGATTTTTGACAGCACAAAAAATATGTTTGCAAATTCAACTACTACCTGCAATATATTTGCATCATCCAAATCAATACTAGTCCTGTTTTTCAGTTAAACACAGATATGCACAGAGAAGTAAAAACCTGAGTTTCCTGGCATGTGTTTTCCCACCTGAGATTGAGCAAGATGAATATCTGCTTGCTTATTTCAGTTTCAGACAATAAAAAAAGTGGCTTTTGCACAATCTATTTAGTGTCAGGCTTTTCCCATTTTTGTGGTTTTTGTTGATGATCTTATTGTCTCATATAGCCCTGAGAGACAGTGTTGGTATATCACCTAGTTTGCTTAAGCATGAGAAAGCTATGAGATCTATAAAAAATCCATACAATAGATAATTTACATTCAGGGATGAATAAAATGCTGTCTAGTGCAAATTTGGTGTTAATGAATAAACAAAACATAAGAAGTATACATTGGAACCCACATAAAACAAAATCTTGTGTTACCTAGTTGATGAAAATATTGTAACTAGAGGCTCATAGCATCCTAAACACATTGCCTCTCTAAGAGTGGCTACAATATTCACTAATTTAGTGTTTGCTGTATGTTTATGGAACAGTACAGTAATAAGAAATGACTGTACATATAGATTTAATCTGGATGTTGCTTTAGTCAGACTTGTAGTTTCTTTGGGTACAGAAACAGTATAACTTGGACATTTGAAAGAGGAAAACATTTTAAATCTACTTTGCTTGGCTTAACTTAATGAAAAATTTTCATATACCCATTCTCAAAAGACCTCCCCATTAGACACTTAGATTCCTTTAAATTTTCCCTGAAGACATTTCTAAAATGCTTCATCTAGCAAGAATTAGATTTCATTTACTTCCTGATTATATTATCAAAAATATATAATGCAAACCTGCTTTACCACCTACCATTCTGTCTTCTTCTTTTCAACCCTACTTCCTATTATTTCTCATAATTAATATCTCATGAAAGTTTATGTTTTCTTTCTTTTCAGCAGAAGGTTCTTGTTTAAAAAAAACTGTGAAATTCTCCAACTAAAATTTATTTTTTATTTTTGCATAAATTTTCTTCAACATTTATTATATATCCATCTATTTTAGACTAGGTTATTTTATGGCAATAAATAGTCCCAATATTGCAATGACATAGAACAAAGGCATTTTCCTTGCTCAGTATTTATGTTCACTGCAGGTGGCCTATGATTCTGCTCCATGTCATTGTGATTCTGAGACACGATGTGAAAGAATAATCTCCCTCTGGGACAGCCATTTTTGTAGAAGGAAAAAAATAATGCATAAGAGAACCAGGTAATGGTTTCAAGGATTCTGTTTACAAGTGGTATATGTTACTTCTGCTCAAATACCATTGGCCAAAGAAGTCATATTGCTGAACCTAACCGGACAGGTATCTATATTTCTTCCACAGAATGGAGCAGTGACTATATTAAAGAAAACACAACTAATCACTTTTTACTAGCTGTTGATATTACAGTGAAATTGAGAAAAACCTAAGTTAAGTAGGTTTTAGAGATTGCACTCCAGGAGCTCACAGAGAGAAAAGAGGAGAGACATATAAACCAATGATGACACACAACTAAGTATTGTTGCAGATAAGAGCTTAGTGCAGTG